ACACGAGTTTGGATAAACACACGGTGTTTATCCATTTGCCAGCTGATGATCACCAGGGCTGCTTCCAGTTTTTAGCTATTGTGAGAACTCTGTTATAAACATTCTTGAACAAGTGTTTTTATAAAAATATGTTTTCATTTCTCTTGGGTAAATACCTAGGAGTGGAATTGTTGGATCATAGGCAGATTTATTTCTACTTCTAATTTAAATAAATAATTTGAAATAATTAAAAAACAGACAAAAAAAAACTTCCAGACATCAGTGTTATTTTTACTTCTCTTTCTCCAGGGAGAGATAATTATAATAACGTTCTGTAGGAATTCCTTCTCTCACTGCAATTTCTCCCCGTCTCTTGCCCTTTCCTTACTTCCAAGGTGAGACAATCACAAACAGAACTTTGAAAACATGCTTTACACACCTCTCTCTAAGTAAATTAACTCTCTTCTTATGTACTGTCCTAGCTTCATGTATCTATCCATCATTTATCACAGTTATGATTTTACATTCATGTGTGTAACTTGATTAATGTCCATCTTCTCTGCAAACTCATTGAGGGTAGGGGTCATGATTGTTTTATTCACCTTTATAACTCTAGCACCTAGTAAAATGCCTGAAACAATTAATATTTGTTGAAATAATTATCCTAACAGCTATTTCCTTTAAAATTATAATACTGCTATATTGATTGCTATATTAATGTTTTCTATGTGCCAGATGCCATTCTCAGCACTTAAAATACATCATTTTTTATTCTTCTTAACAAATTCATAGAGTAGGCACTATGATTTGTATTTTACAAAGGAAGAACAGCAGCATAGAGAGACGAAGTAATGTGCCCAAGATACACAGCAGGTTAACAAAGCTAGTGAGTGACAGAGCTAAGATTTGAACCCAGGAAGTCTAACTTCAGAATCCAAACTCTTAACTATTGGGTTGTCAGAAAAGTCATGACATATTTTGTCTATGTTTTTCAAAGGTCATTTATTTATATAAAGAACAAAGATCAATGATATATTGCCCATTTTGTTCGATAACCTTTTGCCATCTTTCAGTGAGCTTCATAATTCCTTGTTCATAGAAGGACCTGTCTTTATTTGCAAAAAACTGAACAAGGTGCTGATTTATAGCCTCATCTGAATTGAACGTTATACCACACAAGGAGTTTTGAAGAGAGTAAAACAAGTGGAAGTCTGACAGCGCAAGGTCAGGCGAGTATGGTGGGTGTGGCAACACATCCCATTGAAGCGCCAATCATTTTGTCAGGTGATCAAACTTGTGTGTGGTCTCGTGTTGTCGCAATGGAACACAACTCCTTTACAATTAACAAGCTCTGGATGTTTCTGGATGATGGATTCATTCAAACTGTCCAACTGCTGACAGTACATATTCGAATTGATTGTTTGGTTCCTTGGTAGGAGCTCGAAAAACATGACACCTTTCAAATCCCACCATATTGAGAGCATAACCTTCCTCTGCAGATGAATGTCTGCTTTTGATGTCATTTGAGGTGAATCATCACATCGCGACCAAGACCATTTGCACACCACATTGTTGTAAACAATCCGCTTCTCATCACCACTTATCAGTCGCTTCAAAAAAGGATCGTTTTCCTCACGTTTAAAGAGCATATTGCAGATGTTTATATGCACCGTCAAATGAACTTCTTTGAGTTCATGCAGAACCCAAATATCGAGCTTGCTTATGTATCCCAACTTCTTCAGGTGGTCGTGAACGCTTGAATGATGGATGTTCAATGTTTCTGCAATCTCTCGTGTCATGTAACGTGGGTTTGACTCAATCAACATCTTTATTTTGTTGTCATCAACCTCGGTGGGCCTCCCTGACGGAGGAGTGTCGTTGAGATCAAAATCACCAGCACGGAATTTTGTGAACCATCACTGGCACAGAAATTCTTGTAGACCATTGTCACTGTAAACTTTATGCAACTTTTCACAAGCTTGACATGCATTCTTCCCTTTATGGCAGCAAAACAGTAAAATATGGCAAAAATGCAGTTTGGTCTTCCATATTCAACTTGCTGTAAAATCTCCAAAACTCAATCAAATCGCTCAATTGTTTTTTAGAATGAAGCAAGAACTGTCAGCTGTCAAATGACATAGCAATAACATAGATGCGAATGACTCTAGTACTTCCAAAAATGAACTAGTGCCATCTGTCGCAAACATGACTTTTCTGACAACCCAACATAATGCTATTACACTGCCTTTATTGCTCATATTACTGACTTGTGCTTTTCTGATTAAAGTAATTCCCTGAAATTCTTTCAGACCTGGAGATAATCTCAGAGATCATCCTTTTTTATAGATTGGAACACTGTTATCAAAATAGATGAAATGAGTTGCCCAAGTTCATACTCCAAGTTGGTAGCAGAATTTAGGCTCTGTTATGTTTTCTGACTGCATTTTTTTTTTTTTTGCATTGTATCAGACTGGTGTCTCTTAGGAATGAGCTAAGTTTAACTGGAAAAAATCAGCTCTATTTCTTTTATAGACAAAATTTGAATAATATATCTGAAATTAATATAAATATGTAATGCAACATATGAGGATTCCTTTTTGTGATTGCACATAATGTGCAACTAGCTTTTATAAGTGTGTGTGTGTGTGTGTGTGTGTGTGTGTGTGTGTGTGTGT